AAAATAATAAAAAAGATGAGCTGAATGTTAAAAATCTTAGTTAAATAATTTCAAGAATCTCTACTGCGATAATCTTTCTTAGATGAAAGATTAACCCATAAAACCTATATAAAAACAACTGAAAAACAATTTAGAGTAAAGTAAATCAATAAATCAATAAATTGGCTGAATGATCCTGATTTATTTTACAGTAAAGAAAAGGCCGATATTTAAACAAAGGTCGTACAAAGTCATCATCTCAATTTTGGAGATTCAGTAAAAGTGTTAGTCAAATACCTTTGGATGAATGTAATATCCAATAAAAATGTCTAATACTTGCATTATTTTGTTAAAAATATTTTTGAAATTAGATAATTAGAATATATCATTTTTGCTTCTAACTATTTATCATTGTTAGTGCCTGTGATCAGAATCAAATCTTGGACTTCCCTATAAATTTTCTTTTTCTACCGATAATTATCTTACTTATTATAAGTGCACCGTGGTTTATAAAAAATACTAACCTTCATAAAGACTTAGGCGGCGTACCAAAAGTTATAGATGAAGATGCTTGGTGTAGCCGTCAGTGTCTTTAGTTTCCACTTATTGTTAGTTTCTAAATGAAAAATGCAATAAATAATTTATAAATTGAAAAAAAAAAGAATTCGCATTCTGAAGTTATCTATCTCTACATACTGGGGATTCTACATGCTGAAATCGTTTCTTAACTATACTTCTAAAAACTTGGTTTCAAGATACTGGTATAATTTAATAGAAGTGGAAGTGTGAAGAATTTATTGGCACTTACTGCTGACCTATTAAACAAATTACTGTCATTATTAATAAATAAATAATATTGAAATAAAATTAAAAATTTGGAAATTATTCAATTACAATATTTCATAGCAAAATCTTTAAGGTATTTTAAATCGATATAGCTAGTGGGTAGTTGCGGCAGTGGTGCCAACTTTTCTTGCTGATTTCATAAATATTCTTTCTAAAATGTTCTACTTATTGCACTATTTATTGAAATTTATTGTAAGTACGCACAACGGACTATAGTAATTGTAACTTTGCACTATTTTGTTACATAAAACTTAATTATATCTCCAAATCTTTGGCTTTATGCCATTTAGATTTAATAAAATAAAAATAAATGAAATTAAATGCTTTCGATTACGATTTTAATTACAACACCAAAAAACGGTAGCTCGTTAAAACTTTAATATTCAATAAAACTAAGCTGTTAAACATACTCAAAGTTGGTAATTAAAAACATTATTTTGCAATTAAAAAACCAATAAAAAAACAATTAAAGAAATCTAGATTAAGATTACGTATGAATACATTTTAATCTGTTTCCTTACAAATTTTAGTTAGAGGTTCTAGGTTTTAGATAAAAACCAATGCAGTTTGCTAAGTCGTCCTTAGCTAACCACGAACTTTTGTTATTTTTCCGTTTTAGATATTATTTTTGTTGTTTTTAATTTCTTATTTTAAGCACTTGGTTTCTCAGTTTGTAAATGTATTAAAAATAATGATTTCATTTTTTGAAAAGTTTAAAGTTTATCTTAACTAAATTGTTGCTACTGTGGCAGTTGCAGGTTGGCATAACTTTGCGTTATGCTGTGTCTCTTACGGTCTGTTGCACTTAATTCAATACAAAAGTTGCCTTTAGCATGTCTGGCTGGCTTACGGTTTGACTAAATATTTTGGTTACAAACTGCTAGAAAAAGGAAATTCTTGGTAACACAAAAGACAAGGACAGAGAGAAGTGTATCTGTTTTGGTTTGAAATATAAATAATGCTTAACTTAAAACTGTTAACATGCCTTATGGAAATAAATAAATTAAATAGAACTCGAAACATATTTCATAAAAGTTTTTTTTTTATATTAAATAAAAATAGCACTAAGCTGCCAACTTTCGTTTTATATCAAAAAATAATAGAAATAAAATCAGAAACAGCCGGGTCTCACTTCGTTATTCTTATAAATTCATAAGCAGTGCTTGGCCCTTCATAAATTTCATTATTCACCGCTGCCACTATTTTATCTACTATTTGTATGTACAGCCGTACGGCCGCTTCGACTACTTCAATAAGCCATCAAATGTTTATCCTACTTTTAAAGGATAATCCTCTTTAAATCACCGAAATACCTAATAAAAATTACCAATATTTACTTTCCAAATGACATGCCACAAATGAATGGAAATCCCTCGTCAACTTTGGTGCTTGCGTTTGTCGCCAAAGCCGTTGCCATATCTTTTATTATTGTTCTTCGTTTTCTTTTATTCAACAGGGTAAATTTATGAGTGCACAAAAACAGCAATATTGTTTAGTATTAGTGTGTAAAGCCTTTATTCATACATACATATATATATATATATATACTTTTCTACGTCCTGCATATATGTACAACTGTGCATACATCCATAATTTCTCTAAAGTGTTTTACTCCGGTGCTTATGCAAGCAATTTCTCTAAAAGCTTTAATATGCTCAAAGGGACTTCTTCAATTCACTTTTTATCTATACAATCCAAATCCACTCTTCCTGTTTTTTTTTCTTTTCTTATTGGTTATAAAATTACTTGCGTAAAACTTGATATAAAATGCAAATAAAGTATATCCCTTTTGGTATATAAATTTGATAAAAAATATTGGAAAAATATTAATATGTGCCCATATATGTTAAAATGTCACATAAGAATTCAATGATTGTCAATAACAATAACAACAACAACAACAACTACTACTACTACTAATATACGATGAACTTATCACACAAACTGAGGGTGTTCCAAAACACCTATTGTGCCTTTCTGCTCCCTTTGTTGTTCTGTTATGTCCTTTTGAAAAATATGTCAAATTTAACATAGTTGTAAGCTGTTGATTATTATGAACGCACGAGCAGAGACTAAAATATAAAACAACAATACTACATAAAATATAAACATAAAAATTGGTTTTATATCACCAAGCCAATAACAGTGATTGTTACACATATATGTATAAATGGATGCATGTGCACATATACAGAGTTGATTTATGTTTCACGCCTGAAGAATACCCAGCAAACAATTTTTAACTTTTGTTTGATATGTTTATAACTAGTTATGCCGATTAGTTATATTAACTAGTTGTATTGACTAGTTATATAAAAAATAAAATAAGTACTACTTATAATTATATTTAGTATGTACTTAAATTGTTTTCATATAACTATTTTGCTTTAGTTTTGCTTTTAGTTGCTAGTTACTCGTTACTAGTTACTAGTTCAGTTACTCGGTAGTAGTAAAATTAATAATCATTAGTTAAGTAACTCATTAGTAACTAAGTAACTCGAAACTAGTTCGTTAGCCAAAACATTATCATCAGTAGTGAAAATACTCATTAATAGTTAGATTGCTCTTTAGTATTTAGATTATATGTTGGTATTTAAGTAAAGCAATTATAATAGGTAAATTACACGTTTAATTTACACGTTTGATTGAATTCGCACTGGTATGATTTGTAACATAATAAGCTAACTTAGATTTATCCTACTTTTTTACTTTTAATACAATAGAAATGTTTTTTAAATAATAATTAAAAGAAAAATTTTATTTCCTTAATTAATTAAATTTTTTAACTGATGTTTCAAATATCATCGATAGCTTCATATAGTTGCATAAATCCAAACAGATTATTAAACCAACAATATTCGGAACACCTGCATGGTCATACTATAGCTAATTTAAACTTATACTAGGTAATACATAATATTTTCTCAAAACAAAATGATTAATTTGGTAATTAATTAAAAAAGTTATTTACAAACTATTCAAAAGAATAAAAATTGCTTTATAAGTTCATTTTAATTTTTAATTAAATTAATTAAAAAATATAGTTTCATCAGAACTATTAATCAATTAAGCAACTAAATGTTCCTAACTTCCTAGTAACTTAAATGAAATTTCAAAATAATGAAAAAGGCTTTAAATCAAATAAAAAGTTAATTTAATTAATTAAATAAGTAATCAAATTAAATTAAATAAGTTAACTAATTTTAACTGATTAATTAATTAACTGATTAACGGTTTCTAAATAGCTAGTATCTAACATTTAACTTCAATTAGCTTCTAAATATCACTTATGTAGTTCTATATCAATATATCTAGCTTAACCTAAAACTAGAGCTCCCTTCTTTCCATTGACCATTTTCAGCTATTATTATTGGGACTGTGACTGATTCTTCTGTATTCTTCCAGAACTTGATAACTAGCTAATAATATATAATACTAATTTTTAGATTTAAAAAAGGATTAACAAACAAAGTAGTTTGACTTCACATTCGCTAATAATATTCTATAAACAAATTTCTTTTCGATACTTGTCAAGAACACTTTATTATATTAAAATTTGTTAAACTATGAATAATGCATCAAAAATCAAACCACCAATTTCCGCCATGTATCAACGTCATTGGGGTATATTTTGAATTCGGCACACTCGTCTCCTTCTATATTCTAAACGCCAAATAAAAGTGCTTTGCCATTTTGCTTTCATTTTAATCGTTGGTTTACCTACCTATAGAATGTTTTTCTGACATGTGTCAAAGTTTGTGTGGTTACCACTGTTTTTGTCACTTTATTATTGTTTTTGTTGTAACTATGGTTTTTAAGACGAGGTCACACTGCGTAAACCATTAAAATTGCCATTTTACTATTGAGGTCCTTTTCTGCGTACTAAGAAAAAAAAATTTATTAATAAGGAAAACAACAATATATATTTTTCTATTATTCATTTTGTTAATGTCAATGTATGTAGGTTGCCCTTTATTATTCTACCCAACGCTGCTATTATTTAGAATTTTAATAATACGATTTGAGCTTCGCTACTATGGTATTGGCTTTGCGTAACTTAGGTAGCCATTCTGATTATATCAGGGATATTAATATACATAAATAATTCTCAGTGCTATTAGCTTAGCTATCATTAAATTTAATTTTTATTTTATTTCTTATTTTTTACTTTCTAGGTAAGTGACGATGTGCTTTCAATTGCCTTGAGTCAAAATCAAGTAAGGAACAATTTTTTGTTTAGTTTTCTTAATATAATTTATTATTATTTTTTTTTATTTTTTTTTTCAAATGTTTTGAATTAAATTAATTTATTTAAATTTAAGAAAAATTATTTTTGTTACAAAATGTCACAAGAAATCTAATTATTTAATTTGATTTTGTATATGCCAAGATTTGATCTTTGGACCTTACTTTCTTCTTTCATATATTATTTTAATTAAAATAATATAAAATGAATTGTTGTTGTTGTAGTTCAATACTGTTCGAAAAACTCTTTGTATATTATTTTATTTTTTCTTTTATAATGTTCAGAAATTTATTTAAATTTACCTTTTATATTAATTTGTTTTTCTTAAATTTTTTTTTTATTTTTAAATTTCACATATCATTTTAATTTATTATTTATTTAATTTAAATATTATGTTATTTACTTAATTTAATAATAAATGTTGGTAAATTTCAATTTCTAGTTTTTCATTTGTAAACCATTTTGAACTACTATTAAATGAATGAACAAACTTTCATTGAAATCACAAAAATGTTTTTGGGTACATAGTTTTTGCATTTGCATTGTTGTAAAACACAACATACTTCTTTTCCAACCAAATCATAAAATAAAGTGGTTACTTATTTTAGTTATTTCTAAAAAAATAGAGAGAGAAAAAAAAAACAAAAATAGGGTATAACAACTACCGTAACAACCATAATTAGAATTATTTTTTAAATAATAAATTGTTTTGAATAACTCTCCTAGGAAGTTTTATAGTTTGTAGTTGATACTAAATTATTATTATATTATTTAATATGTGTTTACAAGTTTATTCATTTTTCCTTATTGTAATTTTCTTTAATTTTTTAAAATTTGTTTTAAAAATTTTTTTTATTAACTTAATTTTTTAAAAAAAAATTTATTTGAAGTTTTTTAAAATATTTTTTTTTAAATTTTTAAATTTTTTTGTTTATATTTTAATATTTGCTTATATTTTAATATTTGTTTATATTTTTATATTTGTTTATGTTTTTATATTTGTTTATATTTTTATATTTGTTTATATTTTCATATTTTTATATTTGTTTATATTTTAATATTTGTTTACATTTTTATATTTGTTTATATTTTCATATTTTTATATTTGTTTATATTTTTATATTTGTTTATATTTTTATATTTGTTTTATATTTTGTTATATACATGTTTTTTTTCCAGTTCCTAAAAATATTGTTTATTATACAATTTTAATTTAATTCTTATTTTTCTATATTTAAAGTAACAATTTTACTTTGTAAACTAAATTTAATATTCTTGAATTGAAAATTATCATGCATTATCATGTTTCGTCTACAAATATGCAAGATTTATGAAACTTAAGCCTATTTCTTGCCATTATTTATTCTGAAAATTCTACTGTTTATTAAATAACTACTAGTTATTCCTTACTCGTTATGTTATAATATAAATACCTCAGGATATGTGTGTTTTGTAATTTAAATTTTAATTGTTTGACCATTGGCCATATTTATTTATATAAAATTTATTCTATAATATAAAACTAATATCCGTTTAACAGTTTTGAACTTTGGCCAAAGTTATTAACTAAGATTAAATTAAACAAAATACAGGAACAAAAAGACAGCAGTAAAATTCTAAATAATTCGTTACCAATTTGTAGGCATTATTTAAAATTGTATATATTGTAAAATAGAAGTGAATGTCCCTCATAAACATGCGAAAAGCTTTACATATTCTTTTTGTTTAATATTGAAATTACATATTCATCAAATAATTTACGAGTGTGTATAACAGAAATATAAACAAATACAAAATTCCACAAATTTTTTTTGTACCAAAATAAACAAATGCAATTATTCCTAACGTAGCATTGTCAGTGGGTGGCAATCAGCAAGGCCCTACCATGCAATTGCATGTCTTTAAATTGGTGACGCAGTTTGTATACGCGTAATTTCATGATTTAATTCCAAACCTATTAAATATTGTCAACATGAGATACGTGATTTTCTATATTTGACTTAAATGCTCTTGTGTAAACATGTATAAACATCTACTCATAACTATTTCACTAATTACACAGACTGTTGTGCAGTAAACAAAAATATTCGCAAATCCTTGTAGTTTTTATATTTTGATGACCATAAATTGAAACAACGAATTTTCAATCAATCATGAAATATTGTCAACTGCTTTGGTGCAGTACCAAATCAACAAAAATAAGGAAAAACAGCATTAAATATTAGTTGAATGTGTTGTAAAATGTATATTGATAGCAAAAATCATATGCAGCATTTGTGCTACACCATTTTACCGCACAGCACTTGAATCAAAGTGCAATTAGAGCGTTGATGTTGCTGCAACGAACTGCAACAAATATGTAAGTGCAGTAAAATGGTGAAAAACTGCAACAAAAAGTTACACGAAATATACGTACGTACGAGTATGTTCATACATTTCAATGGTGGAGCTACTGTCAACTATTTTTGCTATATCAAAGGGAACGCTTTCGACATTTATTTATGTATATGCTGTTTTACAGGCAAACATACAGATACTGTGCGTTATCCTGGAAAATAACATTAAACATGCAACTTTGCCATGACTTTACAGAAAATAATGGACATGTGCTGCTGCATGTACATGAGTACACATATTAAGTGTAAATATGTATGTGAAATATATATAGCAAAAAATATTAAATACATTATTTTGTATTTTGGCAACAACTTGCATCAGCACTCAAGGGAAACATGCCACCGAAATTCACTTCATCGGTATGTCTTCTACCTTTTACCTTATGCCTTTGGTTGAATGCAACAGTAAGCAACTTACATTCTTACACGTTTGCATATTACCAGCAACGATTATTGATTGTCCACAGTTGTGATGGGTGATGAAATTGTCGCTAGGGATAGTGTGAGTGATAAAGTGTAGACATTTGACAAATTAACTGCTTTGCTTCTATATTGCAACCACATTGGTTTCACTGCAGTAGTATGGCTTTTAAGTTGGTTCCTGATTGGTTTTAACAAATTTAAGTATACTGTATCAGTAAAATTTATTGCATTGCTAGATCGAATTTTCAAACATACAAGTATACTTATTTTCGAATTAAAAAACAAATATATTTTAATTACCAATAGCAAAAATGATACTTTTCTTAAGTGTTGCAATCAGCTTTAAAAACCAATAAGGTGTGCTTAATCGTTTTTTGTTGTAATTAGATAAGAACTGATGGGAATGTTCGAAAACTGCATCATATTTTATATGACACAGGTACACCCAATTTATACAGTTGAATAGTACATGCAGTATTATTCCTACCGGATAACAATAGTGAAAATATTTGTTCTATGGCAAAAAGATCTCAACAATTGTTTTTATTCATCATAAATATCAGCTTTTGTTTCATATCATCGAATAACATGATCAATATAATAATAGGTTATGTATATAAGGAATCTTCTGTACAGCTTTATGACACAAATGAAGAAAAGAACCGTAAAGAACCGTTTGTTACGTTGGGTGCATTAATCAACATTTTTTTTGTAGAATATGACTAAGGTTGCTTCGTTTTGAACCAAAATTCAGTTTTTTAAATTGTGTTTGGCTAGAGTACTTGCAAAATACAAGAAAAATTAAGTTTAGTAAAAGCTTGCAGCACTTCCAGTGGTTAATCACCAGATTTCAATTTTGTTATAACGCTAGTAGAGAGAGGTTTCAAAAAGTTGTTTAAGTAACAACAAAAATTATTTTTAATTAATTAAGTTAATTGAATTTTTGGCTCACCATAGCTGTTTAAAGTATTGCCAAATACCCATCATCAGTGGTCAAATGTTTGGCCTGTTATAAAGTTGGCGTTAAATAATGTTATTATTGTTCGGGAAAAGAAATTTAAGAAAACTTTCATATATTGTTACGGATTTCACAGTCTTCATAACTTTTTTTTCGTTTTTGTTGGTTTTGTATGTTCCGTTGACTGCAACCGTCGTTTTAAATGCAGTTACTTTTAACAGATGTTACAAATATCATCAACGCTTGAGATTTGAAATTCGAAATTTGATGTGTTTGATAGATCACATCGCTTTCCTACTTAATTTTGCTTCAACATTCTTGAATTTAAGAAAAGCTTGAAAACATAGAACAAATGTCAATTATATAATTCAGATCGGTGAGCTCAAAATGTAAGCTTGAATGTGGTTTCTTTTTCTTAACCACTAACGCTTCTAAGTTAGCGACAATGATGATGAGATTGCGGGTAGTAGTCCTTAATAAATTTTAATAACTTGCAACGCGATAATATTACAAACTTAATTCTTTAATATGTTTTTAGCGTTCTTTAACAAGCTTGTTACTGAAGTTTGTTTTAATATCACACAATAAAGAATCATTTCAGGATAATAAAAATTAATGGATAAAGAAAATTTAGATCAGTAAACTTTTTTTATTCTAAGTACTTCCTCTTCAGTTTTTTTTATCAACTTCAAATTTTTACAGTGTTGCGATCTACTATAATCTATCTTTATCCTTTCCATAACAACTTATGTGCATTTAAAATATGTATATAAAATTACAAAATATACGAAAAGAAGATAAATCCCACCAAATATAATAAATGCACGATTGCGGTTTCCGCTTCAGAATGTACGTTGCACGTTGCACGTTGCCCGTTGCACATTGCACATTGCACGTTTTACGATGCTCTCCATCACAATAACCAAACATTAACACCAAAACCGTTATTAAAGCAGCGTACAAATGTCAACAGCATTGCAACTACGCCTGTCGTCACAATTGTCCTTCATATAACGTATTTTTTTACGTAGCTGAAAATATTATGCATGCACACATATAAACCTCAGAAACATATACAGCAGCAGCAGCAATATTGCTGAAAATACTGCTGCATTCTCTAAAAGTAATCGTACCGTTACACACAAACACACACATGCACACACAAATACATATGCACAATAACGATATTTACGC